CAAAGTATAGAGCATTCCCAAATTCCCTCTTCCCTGTCTCCTCCAACAGCGGGTTGTAAAAGCCCACCACAATGGCGTGGGCCGTCCATGAAACAGCCACCAGCATCAGTAGTCCGGCAACGATGAAAGTCCCTCCAGCAGCTACCACAAGGCGGGGTTTGCTGCCCACATCCCGGCTACAGTTGGTGCACTTGGCACCAGCCACTGACAGGCCGATTCCCACAATGGACAGAACCATGGAGATTATGACCAAGGCTCGAGCCGCCTGCAGGTCCCCTGGAAGCCCCAGCATGGATTCATGCACCCTGCAGTGCATCTGGCCCGTGCTCTGCACCGAACAGTTCATCCATAATCCCTCCCAGATCACCTGGGAGATGACAATATTCTGTCCGATAAAAGCTGCCACCCTCCACATGGGCAGACCGCAGGCCACCATCACCCCCAGCCAGCCAGCCACAGTCAGGATCATCCCAAGAATCTCCAAGCCGGCGGAGTACATTGTAGGAGCTGGAGACGAAGATAAAAGCAACTGAAATAGTCTCCAAGGGATCTATGGGATAGAAGGCCTTCTGTGTCCGCAGGCCCGAGATGAAGGCGATATTAGATCTCTGAGGCTGAAAGTCCTGTCCAAGACTTTCAGTAAGGAGGGAGAAACAGATTCCTTATACAGCTTAGACGATTGAAGGTGGAGTCAGCTTAAGGTGGCATCGGCCTTACTTTAAAACTATATCTTCAGGTGCAAAAGATTGGATTACTGTTTGCTTGTTTGCTTTGGGCATTTTCATTTAAAGGTGGATATAGAAAACTTTTCAATAAGCAACTGAAGAAGAATTCTTTGTTGTTTTTCCCCATAAATCTAAAGTACAGCTCAGTATAAAAGTGGACATAAGGATTTTACATAGTTATAAAACTGTTCAATCATGATTTATCTCCAAAGTTTAAAATTGTTGAGACACAGTATTGAACAGTATTCAGACCATATATGGCCTATATGGAAAGTGTTGTAATATCATATAAATAAAACCCTTCTGCATTAAAAAAGAAAGAAAAAATGTTCTTTTTCCAGCTGTTTATAGGGGAAAACCTTGAGGTAATATGAAAAACAAAGGTTCCTCTGATTTCTTTTTTATGTTTTCAAGCTTTTGCACACAAACATCTGAAAACGATTCAATTCCACAATAAAAAAAACACCTTTGGCTGGAATAGGCAAAGTAAAAATATGCATGTGTGGCTGAAAGAGTCTGGTATTTCCATCATTATCCAAGTCAATATATCTGTTTGTACCATTTTCCAATAAAGAGATCAAAGAAACCCCAAACCTTTGGAAATAATATTTATATTATTTTACCTTGTATTTAACTGAGTCTAAAAGGTTTCTCAAACAGGGTTAGGAACTTTCTGTCATTAAAGATTCTCAACTAATTAACAAAGGTCATCTGGGGTCAGTGGTCAGGTCAGGCTGAGCATCTTTGCTTTCATTGTGTTTTACCCTTGAATACACAGACACACATACCATGCTCTCAACCCCCAACACACACACAAACAGCATATTTCTACATTGCTTTATTGTCTACTTAGTAACTTTAAAAGCAACACTTATGAAGGAAAGTAAAAAAAAAAAAAGTGAGTTTAAAAAACCCATTTAAACAGTTACTCTTTTGTGTTCCATTGTGAATAAAGGTGCATAATACATGGTTTGACAGGTAGGGGGAGCCAGCTTTGCTGTGAATGCTGGCTTCTCTTCTTTCTCAGAGCTGCATTTTATTAGGACAGAACAAAGTAGAATTTATTTTATTTCATTCATTTATTTATTTAATAAGAACCATCTTGAGTTACCCTTATGAGCTTCTAAGTAGATACTCCAGATATGCCCTGATAAACTGCCAGTTACTTTGTTATGTAAATAAAAAAAATCAACAATTATAAAAAAGTTCTTTCCACCTTTATATGATATCTATAATGCATTATTGAATTAATCTCAGTGTATTTATGTAACCCTAACTCACAACAGAAGTAATCTTAAGGTACTTTACAAAGTCCAAATTTAATCAGATCATACAGACAGAATTATTAATAATCTTTACTTTTTTTTTTTTTATCCAGAGTAACTTTGGCAAATTGCTCTGAGTCATTGACAGGAGGAAAGCACAAACAGAACCAACTAAGTGTTCGTGACCATCTGTCAGGACCGACTGGGTGTTTTAGAAAATAAAGCATACAGTATATCCAGGAGGACTTTGAAAAAAACAAAAACAAATGATAGAAATAGCTCTTTT